CTTGAATGGTGATAGTTTCCTTAGTCTCCCAATCTTTTATACTATAATTCAATTAGTGGCTTATTTATTTATGTTTTTTTATCATTCATTATTATTTACTTTACCAATTGCAATTCCACTATTGAGTTATAATGCTCGTGCTTTTATTTGACATACTATATATCTATATCTGTGCTATGTATAAAAGCGGCTTAAAAGATGTAAACTTTTGAGGAGATATTACACACACACACAGAGTCACGAACACATAATTTTTCTTCATGTTGCAATGTACATGGAAGACATATACATGCATATATAGTTCATCTCTGGAATTCTTTTCGTAGTTTCAATGTGCATGCTAAATTGTTGATTGGCAATACTATATGGCAAATAAAGTTGGCAATAGAACCAATGTTGTGAAATTTGATATTTGAAAGCATGCATTCCAATTTAATTAGGTTCTAATTGAATTGTATGAACCAATCTGACTAGGCACTAGAGGATGCTAATTTTTTTTGCTTTATTACTTTTACAGTTCATAGAGTTTCTTCTATCTCCAATTAAAACTGTTGTATTGTTAACCCACATAAGTAGCTAGGTTGAATCTCATATTTGGGTTGTTGATCATGATATTGAAAAACTGAAGTTGATGGTGATGTTGATATTTCAAACATGAAGAAAGAAAAGCAAAACAAGCTCTTCATAGCTTTTTTTTTTTTGGAGGTGGGGGGGGGGGGGGTAAGAAAAAGTCAGTGTGAAAAAGTATTTCTAGTAATGGTGGGCAACTGACAGTAGCAGCATCCTGTTATAGTATATCAAGTGTGAGGGAAAGCTACTTCCCAATCTGCAAATTTTAATTTGGTTTTTCCATGCAGATTTAAATTCAACGCGGGCCATAAGTGATTAAGCTTGTTTTGAGTTAAATTATCATGTTTCAATTGCTTAATGTTGTGACTATGTCTCTGTTTAATAATAAAACTAAAGTCCTCACAACAAAAACAATTTTTTTTAAGAAAGAGTAAACATTTTCGATCATCCTGGTGTTAAGCAGCATTTTAGCTTCTCTTATTCAGGTCAGGGACGCTGGCAACCTTTTGACTAGAGCAGGGTTTGCACTTCCTGGTGTTGATGTTGATGAATATGTGGTTAGGTATGAGAGTGGTAAGAATATCCTCTTAACGTTTTTCAGTTTTGAATTCTGACTTGTGCCAGTGTAATAGCTGGCTAATAAGGTGATCTATATCAAATTTAAAATTTTCAGTTTTCAACTATGGGCTTATAAAATGTCTTGGTGAAATTTCATGTTTATTAAGAATTGTAAAACTTATTTTCCTGACATGTATATAGAGCTAGCACAAATTGTTGAACAATTTGCAAATTGGAACACTAAATTCTAATGAAATCCTCCATTCGTTGCATGGTTGGAGGTTCTCTAAAATGTTTACCCAAAAGTTTTTATGAAAATACTTCCACATTTATTTGTGGGCTTTGGTAACAGAATGAATTAAGAAACAAGAAAAAAATGAGATTTGGTGCTGAAGCAACATTCAGAGTTTCCGATTAGTGACATGCTATATTTCTTGCAGCGAAAATGCTTCTAGCTGTAGCAATACCCCATTATCAGGATAAAGTCATAGGAAATGTGTATCAACATGATTTGAAATGCAGTTGAGAGTATTTCATATTGGTTTGAACTCTAATGTATATTTTACCCTCCATATATTTTTACTCTTTGATGATAATATGATTAATTGGCCTCCTATTCTTTACATTGCGTAATTTGTTAACTATTTTTCAGTATCAATAAACCATGTCTCTTTTGTGCAGCCTTGGATCTAATTGAACATCTACGAGCAATGGGTGAAACTAATGCTTTGCTGCAAAGGAGCAATGTAAGATATCTTTTGGACATTGATGTCTGTCCAATTTAATCTAAGTGATACTTTTCCAAACAAAGCACGAGATAAGCTAACCTTAAACCTTGCTAAATTTTCATGTAAACTACCTTGAAACCAGATCCTGAAGAGGGAAACAGCTCTAGCAACTGCAGCCATCTATGATTCATTGTTTTCAGCTGAAGATGGCACCATCCCTGCAACTTTCCAGGTCAGTGCATTAATAACCATTCAAAGGGCAGAAATTTGAAAGAAAGACACTATGCATACCATCAAATCTTTTGTTTTCTAATATCTGTAATTGATATCTGTGATCTAACTTTGCCCTATTTATTCCCCATTTTACACTTTTTTTATAAATTATTATTTCTGTTAGTTGACTGAAAGTAAAAGATTTTGAATTTAAAAAGCTAACTCAGCAGTCTAATTTTATGAAAAGCTTAAAAAAAATTATAATACTCCCTCTCTCCCTTTTTGGTAGAAGAAACGAGGGCTGAGGGCCCTAAGAGCACTATGCAGCCCTAAGTTTGCAACTCTTTGGGGCATTATGCAGGACAAGGACTTCATTTGGTTGCAATAACCTATTGTTAGAAAATGAATAGCTATGAATTTTTTTTTCTTGGAATATGATCTGTTTTCTATCCGTCACCATTACTTTTGGTTCTGAAATTCTGTCTTGTTGACATGGCTTGTAATCCTCATTGGCAACAACAGATCTTTTTTGCCTTTTTTCTCCTTTCTGTCGCTCCATCTCTGTAACTGTTTCTTCCTTAAATGAAAGCAAACAAAACATCACTACCACCACTTAACAAGTAAAAAAATGTAAGCTGGTAGAGTACAGAATAGAGGGGGCAAGTGAGAAAGGTAAATCTACGGGTGTTTATTGGGGATGTTGGTTCTAAACTTTGAAGGTTTGGATGTATAGAAAAGTCAAAAAGAGAGGAAAAAGCCAAACGTCAAGGGGTGGCCACTTTTGTTTAAGAAGTCAGCTTTATTGTGACTATTGACAGACAGAAGATATATTAGTCAAAGAAAGAAAGGGGAGATTTTGGAATGACTTAGGTGAAAGTAGGAAATGGGGTTTTATAGGGGTTTTTGTAATGTACTGAATTTTATTTTTGCTCAAATATATCCTTATTTATATTTTAGGGGCAAGTCTACTGTTATGTATATATTTTTAATGAGACTTAAGCTTCTGTATATTACAAAATTCCTTCATACTTGGAGCTCTTCACCTTCTTAGATAAGTGCAAAGCCTGGATGTAACAAATGGGCATATAATCTATGTTGAACGATTTAAATAGCTGGTTTACATTGTTTGCTGATGTTCAATTCAGTCACATGGATTTCAAAAGATTTGACCTCTTCTCTGCCGTGCCTTTCTCTGTAGTCTATACCTTCTAAAGCCATTACCATCAAAGGATTCACCTGAAGATTAGGTAACCATCATGAGAAGAAATCCAGTTTGACCAGAAGATACTACGATGAGAAGTAAAATTTTCATCGTAGTTTTAAGGAGATTAAATTATATGTTGTTTAGTAAGTAGCAGCATTTTGGAGCATACATTGAGGATATTCAGGTCTCAAAGAGACACTCCAACAGTTAGAACATAAGTGTAACTTGAATGTCTTGAGTTATAATCATGAGATAGAAGCGGTTTATGGGCTTGGAACAGACTACCTGTGATTATGTAACCAAATTTATATTTACCAAATTTCTTTTGAGGATGTTTAAGTGGAGCATTGCAGTGTCAACCAAAGTTATATGCACTAGTGTGCTAAAAACTATTAACCCCACTCTCTTCTCTATGGGCATGAGTTGATCGCCTCAGCCTTTGTAAACACACTCGAAACTCATTCAGTGAAAGATAATAGCCTTGCTTTTTGTAAGTAACACTCGGGGAAGGTGAGATTTTCATTACTTGTCACTGTAATTAGGATTTCATAAGCTCTATCAAATTGAAGGTCTGACATGACTCTTGGAATGAATGATTAAAAATCATAAAATCATGTTTTACAAGACGATATGTTTTGAGTTTTGACATCATCATTTCTCTTGTAGGTGATCTACATGACAGGATGGAAAGAACATCCTTCTCAACAGAAGGCCAAAAGGAGGGGTTCCGCCACAGTATCCTTCAAGGACATACAGAAGCAATTTGGAAGCGGAAGTTGATCGATCTCTTTCTTTTGTGTGTGTGGCAGTGTTGTTCATCTATTTACGCAAAAGAATAAGTAAACTCCAGTGCCGAGCAGCATACAGTGATTGCAGGTAAAGAAAAAGAAAAACATTAGAGATGATGTGAATAAATTCTTTACCTTGTAATTCTCGCGCATGCATCCTAGTGAATTTGAAAACTACATTAACATTCATTTTTTTTTGGATATCATCCGATACTTTTAGTAGCAAAATGTTGGGTGAATACTTGTAGGTGTCACTTTTATTATTCTTAATAGACTTTTGGGTAATTTTTTTTTTAATAAAAGAGGCCGTTATTTGATATAAATGTTGCAATTCAAACTCAAAATCCTCTTTATCTGTACATCGTACGTCATATTATATAATATGTCCATGAGTCGAGTTGGACGTGGTTAAAACCTTTAAAAGAATAAAACCTTGCCAAACAGATCCAGCTCTATGTAGTATCATTTAATTTTAAATTTAATATTAAATTTTATCTTAATATTCTCTAGTAAAAAAATTAAAATTAAATAAAAATAAGTATTTTTTATTAAAATATTCTCACAAGATTAGCTTGAATTGACTTAGGGCGGCTTGAAAAATTTTGCTCAGTCCCAACCTGGGAAAATCTATTCAATATGTTAAAATGATCTCACTCATCTATACAATGCAAACAAAAATTTGATATAAAATATGATTTGAAGGATAATTGAGGTATTTGATTATATAACTTAAAAGCATAGTTTTTACATCAGATATATGTTTTTGGGTTAATTAGACTATTTTGTCTTTTTAATGAGTCCAACTTTGATGCAATTGAGTTATACCAACTTTAATATAATGAATTTATTTGAGATTTGAAGCATAATATTATGGCAATTAAGATGTGGTATAAAATATGATTTTAGAGATAATTGAGATATTTGATTTTAAATAAGAATATGCATGAACATAATAAGTAGACAACCAAGGACCAACGCGGATTATGATTAAAAACTTGATAATAATGGCCTATCTTATTCAGATAAGATGGAGTAGCATTGTCATATGTTTAGCTAAACAGAAATGAAATATAAGTAGAAGATGATCTTTCCTGTTGCTGGCATGAAGGCATATTTTGATTCCTTGGAAGGCAGGGCAGCTTTTGTTCTAAAGTCCAAAGACATTGACATAGAGAGACAAAACTTATCATTTTGACATCTTGGCCGCCAGTTCTCTTACAAGCTTAGCAGCAACCATTGCAGTCATTCCATCAACAGTGTCACGTTGTGGGTTGAACTCTACCACATCTGCACCAACCAGATTGCCTTGGAGGTTGTGTAGGATGTTGAGAACATCACGAAAGGAAAGGCCTCCTGGTTCGATGTGAGATACCCCTGGAGCAAAGGCTGGATCAAGACAGTCCACATCCACTGAAATATACACCCCCTCTACTCCTTCCCCCAGTTTCTGTCAATGCATCTGCTATTAGTCTCAAATTCTAATTTTCTTTCAGTTTCCTCCAAGCAATTCAACTCTATAATAATCTATTTTAACATTTGTAAGACATTTTGCGCTATGAAGTTGATGAGCAAAAGCATATTAGTCATGTTTGTGCAGAAAGATACACAAGGACAAGAAAAGTTACAGAAAATATGAGAAAGAGAGAGACCAGGTTTTCCAAGAAGTGACGGTCTCTTGAAAATGTTCGCATTTCATATTGCTCCACTCCAAATCTTTTGCCTTGTTCGCGCCCTTCAGTTGTTATTGATCTGATACCAACCTAAAATAACAGCACTTCAGTCAATTGGCTCTAAAACAAGATATACATCCCCCTCGTGCATTTGGTGATGAGGTGTATTTGATCACTCTCATGGTTAAAACAATAGTGGAAAGAGGGACTATAAACACAATGATGAAACAACTAAAACAACTTAAAAGAAAACTTGTCGTTCCCTATCTACGGATAGGAAAAGGGTTACAAGTGCTAAGATTTGAACCTAGACCTACTGAGTGCCACCTCTTAAGGGTGGCTACATGAACCAACCGAACCAACTATAAACATAGCTTTTGACAAAGGTAAAGAAAATACGCAGATGACCAAAAAAATATAGCAAATTGCAAAGTCACTACCAGAAAACTGAAATTTGTTATATTCCCAGTTGGAGTCATTATTTGATCCAGGAACCATATGTTGAATTGGAAATTATAAAAGCCACTGATACAGTATATTGAAGAAAAAGTTACCTGCAAAAGGCGCCTAGCATAACCACCTTCCATAATTCGAGCAAAAGAAGATGCATGTGAATACTTATTTCCTTCAAAGGCATCATAAATATCAGGATGGGCATCTAAATGAAGTATATCCACACGTCCAGCAAGCTTCTCAGAGAGAGCTCTAACAACAGGAAAAGATATTGAGTGGTCACCACCTAAAACTAATGGGCGTAATGGATCCTGAAAAACACAGACATTGAAAGAGTTGAGAGTCATCTATTTGAACCAGGAGGTACCAGGAAGATAATCTTGCATCGATTGCAACCAGCATCTATATAGAGGCTCCCTGAACACTTCTGATCTTCCCTCTAGACAAAAGGCTTTGGTGAGAAATATTTAACAATAAATCAAACACTTCCAAAAGGAAGACCAAAAGAAGGAAGAAACAAATAAGTTGAACTGATTTCAACCAAATTTAAACATAAGCGGATCCACCATTTTTTTGGGCATGTCAACTTATAGTATATATAAAAAATTATCAACGGATTTACCAATTTTGTTGATAGAAAGGATCTACAAAGGAAAATTTTGCGTCTCCAAGGAAATATTTCCTTTCAAATTTTCTTATTTTTTAATTTTTTGGGTGTCCCAATGCATAGATCCGCCCCTAAATTTAAACCACATAGATGATCACAGGGTTGCTTCCAGGGACAAAGTTCAGTAGTTCAAATTGTGTATAAATTCAAAATCTATTTATCTAAGTCGTCCAAACACCAAAATAATCATCAAAAGTAGTCATAGTGATTCTGAAGAAAGAAGCCAAACAACACTCACCTCCTCCATTACTAGCTTGACAGACTCACTGATGACATTCATCAATCTATCATCATCCACGCCACAATCACGGATTTCTTGCACAGGGACATCACCAACGTCAGTTAGCACCCGTGGATCGTTTAGTTGCTTCCCTGCAGGACCAACAAGGCAACAATCAAAAACACGATTCCTTATCCCATGGATATAGCATCATGTTGAAGGATTAGCTACCTTGTTCAGTGGTTGAGTTAGTGCTGCCACACCAGATTGCCTCCCTAATTCGAGGAGGAGCAAATGCTGGTCCTTGAAGAAATGATGAGTTATGTCCTAAAGGAACTCCAAGCAGAGATGTGGATGCCACAGCACCCCCTAAAGCACGCAAAAGTTGTCCCTAGTGATTATAAATTTCACATGCATGCTTGTCAGCCTGAGCTTTGATGCCCAAAGGACTCAAAGAAGCAATGAAAGTAGCATCATATCATGTATATTATAAACCTACCTTGAGCTTTGCCCTCTCGCGAATAAGGGTAAGAGAAGCATCTATTACACGATTTTGGCCCTTCTCCAACAAATCAGAAGGTATATTTGCGGCTTTTAGTTTCTGCAAGTAATGAAGTCCTCTCCGCCCTATCGCTGTGCCTGAGCCTGACATGTCTGCAAAAACATGTACCTTGAAGAGGAAGAGATTAAATGAAGAATAAACTTAACACAGATGATGATGCAATTCAGAGGGCTCTCTCCACTCAACTCAAAATATGATTTTTTATTGTCATTAATGGCGCTTTGCTTTAGCTTTTCCTACTGCCAATTTGATTAAAGATGATGAGGTGTAATACCCATTTATTTAAACCCTTGCTTGATTGCTCTCTTACTTGCTTTTAAATGGGCACCCTCACTCCCTGTAACGGCTGTAAATGAGAGATTAATAAGTTAATTATCAAATATATTTTAATATTTAATTTGAGTAATTTGTGAATTTAATTAAAATTTTAAATTTTAATATATTTTATTATTTTAAATTATTATATTATTTATATATATTAATTTTAGGTCAAATTTAAATTTGAATATATAATTAAATTAAAATTAAATAATAAAAATTAAATTAATTTTATTAAATGAATTTAATTGAACCACAATTTTTATTTTAAATTAAACTGAAATTTAAAAATTTAAATTCAAATTAAATTTTAAATAATAAATTTTAAATTTAACTCAAATTTAAAATTTTAATTATATTAACTCGATTGATTTGGTTACTTCCTGCGCATTAAAAAAAAATTGAAAATTGCGAAGCCGAAGGGTATATTGCCCAGCCCAATGTCCAAGAAAGGGTACAGCCCTCGTTTAGGATTGTTGTCCACTTTTGATTTCGATTTCAATGTCAAGTAAAAAATAGAGTTTTGTGATTTGCCGAGTCACATCACATCTAACAGACGGCAGAGCCAAAACCCCAACTCATAAATTGTCAAATCCCGGGGCTGTAGTAGAGTGAGGAGTGCAATGCCAACGTCACGCCGTCCAATGTGCAGTGTGGTGCCCAGACAGACAGTGGCGCATCACTGACGCACCTCCCTGCATGCACCCATGAGTCCTGACTCCTGACCCCTGCATGCACACCCCAAAATATGCACTTCAAGATATAGCCCCCCAGCCCATATTCCATACTAAAAATTGGGCTTTCCTTGGAAACTAATTGGGCCGAGTTTAGGCCACTTTCGCTTTTAAAATAATCTAAATCGATTAGAGTAATTATTCTCCAGGAGCAACACCAGGGATCCTGGATTAGTCCTGGAACAATCAAAATCCTTACAGGAAAGCCCATTGAATATAGAAAACTCTTGATTTTGAAGTTGAAGATGAATCCTAAAGAAGAAAAGCAAAGCACAAGCGGCAAATAGAAATGTTATTGCATTACCTTCCTTCAAGAATTTCTTTGCCGCTCAACCCTCCACATTTCCATACGCTTCCTTCAACCTCTTTGTCTTTGTTACTACTCCCAAAGGAAAGAATGATCCCAACCATGTCCTCCTCTTCTTCTTCAGCGTCGTCATCTGTAAAAAACTCCCAAAAAGAAGAAGATGAAGAACAAGAAAAGGTAGCTCAGGCCCTCAAATACCATCATCAAACCAAACACAGTTTCACCAACTACGCAAGAGGACCACGTGGCCTTGATTGGGCCAATCAACCCAACCCTTTTCGCCGTTACATCTCTGCTCCTCTAATTCCTCTCCAGCACTTTCCCACTGAAAAACAAACAAGTCCAGTTGCTGATGCTCCTTTGTATTCTTCCCTATTCCATTCTCTTCCTCCTCCTAAACCCATCTCCCATTCCACAATCTCCCAACTCTTGTACGATTCTCTGGCTCTTTCAGCTTGGAAAACAACTGGGTTTTCCACTTGGTCCCTTCGGGTTAACCCCAGCAGCGGCAATTTGCACCCCACTGAGGCTTACCTTATTGCTCCGCCTATTCAATCTCTCTCTGATTCACCTTTTATTGCTCATTATGCTCCGAAACAACACTCGCTCGAGCTACGAGCCACAATCCCATCTGGGTTTTTCCCCAAATTCTTTCCGGATAATTCATTTCTCATTGGGATTTCTTCTATTTTCTGGCGGGAAGCATGGAAATATGGAGAACGTGCGTTTCGGTACTGCAACCACGATGTGGGCCATGCAATCGGAGCTATTGCAATGGCTGCGGCAACGCTTGGCTGGGACGTCAAGCTTCTGGATGGGTTTGGATATAAGGATTTGGAGAAGCTAATGGGGCTTCAGATTTTCCCGGACTTCAAAATCCCATCAAGACCAATCAAAGGCAAGTTTCCTGACATTGAATTTGAGCACCCAGATTGTTTGATTCTTGTTTTTCCTAATGGGAGTAATCAATTCGATGTGAATTATAAGGAATTGAGTTCTGCAGTAAATGAATTTTCGAATTTGGAGTGGAAAGGGAGGCCAAATTCGCTTAGCAAGGAACATGTTTGTTGGGGCATAATTTATAGGACAGCTGAGGCAGTTAAAAAGCCATTAACGGTTCAAAAGGGAAAATTTCCAGTTGATCAATTTCAAAGCAGTGAAATTTGTAGTGAAAACTCTTATAAAGGTTTTACAATCAGGGAAGTTGTTAAGAAAAGAAGGAGCGCGGTTGATATGGATGGAGTAACTGTAATGGAAAGACAAACATTTTATCAGATTTTGTTGCATTGCCTTCCTTCAGGGAAAGGAGAGAAGCATAGAAGACAATTAGCATTGCCATTTCGGGCTCTCTCTTGGGATGCCGAGGTTCATGCTGCTATGTTTGTTCATAGAGTGGTAGGTTTGCCCAAGGGATTGTATTTCTTGGTTAGAAATGAGGGTCATTTAGAGGAGCTTAAGACAGCTACCAGGTCCGAGTTTAAGTGGGAGAAACCAGAGGGATGCCCCGATGGTCTACCTTTATATGAACTTGTTACTGGTGACTATCAAGAGCTCGCGAAACGGCTTTCTTGCCATCAGGTGTGTAACATTTTTCATATTATTTGTTCTTTGTGATTTTATGTTCACTGGCAAAACAAATCATCAGAGAAGTGCTTGATTTGGGAAATGGAAACAGGTTCATTAACAATATCCCTAGTTCATCAATGCATGAAGTTTAAAAGTGTAAATACTATTAGTTAAATATGAATTCTAGAGGTGGAGAAAAAGTTTTTGGCAAAATGCTTGAGAATACTATGTTTTGAATGACCATGTTTACTGCAGAAGGCTGTTTTGTTGCAGAGTGCAAACCTGCAAAGCATAGTTTTTAAATATAACTGAAATGCTCAACTTACACACAGGACATTGCTAGCGATGGCTGCTTCAGCCTTGGAATGGTGGCTCATTTTGAACCTACCTTAAGTGAGATGGGTGCATGGATGTATCCTCGATTGTTTTGGGAAACTGGAGTTCTTGGCCAAGTGTTATACCTCGAAGCACATGCTGTCGGCGTATCTGCAACTGGAATTGGTTGCTTCTTTGATGATCCTGGTATGTCTACTCATTTTCACCTTTATCCAGACCTAGTATTCCAAATCGACAGTGATTATATATGGTACCTAGTCTTGTTATGAAGTTCTACATCAAAGATAGGTTACACATCTCATCTAAATTATACTGCATTCCTGTCAGTAGTTGCATTAGGTGGTCTCATCCTTGGTCAGGGTGTTTAAGCCTGTGCCATTACAATTTGCACTTTCAATTGAGATATTGTAGTGAAATGAGGTAATACTACCCTCAAAGAACATACCCCTTCCATTTTCATAACCTAAGAATCCAAAGCTTGCCCTTGCCCCAGCTCACCCTTATAAGTACAAGGTCGGACCCATCATTGCCTAAAGATTAAACATGAATGATGTCTGATTTTCATTTTGCTGTACTTTTGCAGTGCATGAACTTCTTGGGTTTAGAGGATCAAAGTTTCAGAGTCTATATCATTTCACTGTCGGAGGCCCTGTGTTGGACAAGCGGATTATGAGCCTGCCAGCATATCCGGGCCCTAGCATTGATGCATGATTACAGGAAGCTATTGTTTAGCACGAGTTATCACCATTGGAGCCTACACTATTAAAGGCTTATCAAACAGTCTATATATCTAATAGTCCCCGGTATGTTTGTAATTTGGTAGGTTAATAGAAGTTTGTGGCGATAATTAACTGGCTTCAATCTGCAATATACGGTAAATAAAGTTTTTTTTTCCTCCAATCAATGTAAATTAAAATCAAGGCAATGAGGTTTTATGGTGCGATAGTTTTGTATAGGGTAAATGATCATGATCATTTGACAACCATCTTTAAACTATCGCGTTCTGCTGTTCTAGAATTGAATATTGAACATTGAACATTGGAAGGTTTTTTTAATGCAAATTGTGTTTTATTTGTTTATTCGTTTTTCTGAGGAATGCAATTAAGACAGTTTAAGCTTGTGCCGATGACTACAGTAATCTTGTGGTTAAATGCATTTAGATTATACAGTAATAATAATAATAATAATAATAATAATAATAATAATGAGATAAGTTAATTAAACATTGACTCATCAAGATTGTAATTATTCATCAAGATTGCAATTATTACAAAAAGATCGCTTAAGAGAATTACCAACTAAATGCTGAATTTTGTGAAGCCATCCTTGATTGCAAGATAATTGCAATACTACCAGTTTGCTTCTTATTTCACTCTCTTATTTCTATCCATCTAGATTCCATAAACGAAAACAATCCGAGCAGACTCCATAAGTGAAAACAATCAAAGCAAATCAGTTGTTATTTATAATCGAAAATTTTGTATTACCCGAAGAAGACAGGGTCAGGGAGGCAGATCAACTGTTGCAGCAATCAAAGGAACAAAAAGGAGAAAATATTACATTCCAAATATCCTTTCACCAAAGCAAAGGTCCCTATTGACGGAGTCTCAAGAGATCCTCGTGACACCTGCAAGTATCAGCCTGATAGTCTCTCTAATGTAGTTGACAAGCTCATCCATTGTTCTTTTGTCTCTTCCCCTACATTCTACCATTTCTCTCAGTCCAAATCCTGTAGATATGTGCACTTCGGCAGGTTCTGAGCCTTGCCTCTCAATTTGTGTTGAGCAAAAGATTCATTGCTTGGGCAATTCTATCAGTTATCATTTCCACCCAAACGAGAAAAACCAATCATATCAGTTATCATAATGTCCAAAACCAGATGGCAAACCTTATTCCATAAAACATCAGAATAAAACTGTTTGGGCTGTGACATACAAAGAATGATCCATGGCATAGCACTTTGCATTCCAGAAAATGGAAAAATTTTGAAGAGTTGGTAGACTCAACAATTACTTCAGAAAGGGTTCAAACTAACGTGCAGGGCCAATATCGTAGACCATAACAAATAACCTGATATATACAATTGAGAAGAAAAGTGAACTTTTCTTATTTAGAAACCATGGGAAGTGCTTCTAAATGACAAACCAGACACCTTCAACCCGAGTTTTATACCAAAAGTCAGGCTATACTTCTTTTTATCTGAAGAAAGTCTCTATCGTTCCAGGCAGGCAGTCAGATATAACATTTGAGCAAACCTGAAGCATGAAAAATCTTCTCGCCTACCTTGTATCCAAATGATCATGACGCCCCGCAGTATTGGAAAAACTATGGCCAGGAAAATGTACCTGTAATTCCCAGCTAAGAATAAATTTTCTCCACATGAACTGAACATCTTTTCTCTTTAAGAACTTTACAACTAGATTGCTTTCTTCTTAGTGCCACCATTATTGTCCATCAAAGGCCATCATTGGCAACCAGAGCTTTCGGATCCACCCATGCATTCAAGTCCTGACTCACTTGTGCCAATACCTTTCTCGTGATGAATGCATGATACATACCATAAAAGCATACAGGAACAGCAGCATGCTACAAGAATAAAGGGAACACATCTATTTCGAAACTCAAAGGATTGCTAAAGCCAGTAACCTTATCCAATTCGTACTTAAATGAATCCAAGAAGAGGCCGAGGGAAAGCCCAGCTTTCCAATAGTTAAACATGGTGATCAGACTCCTAACATTGTTGAGTACAGGAAGAGAGGCCCTATACATCAGGGCACCTATCCCCTCCACAACAACGACTGCCAAGGCTGCAGATAGAATATCCCAGTCACCTGTCTGCCCAATAACAGTTGCAAATGCAGTTGCACAATAAAATCCAACCAAGAAAAAGAATATCTTCATAGGAAGATTTTTCCTCAGCTCCTGAATTCTCACACCTAGTTTACTTCGAATAGCTTGGATAGCCCTAATCAATCTGGGCCTGCCATTATTGCTGGAAGAAGGATCAAATCCACTGGCATCCACATTGCTTCTAATAGACCATGCCATTCTCCTGCAGAAAAACCCCCTGTTTAATTACACCATGGGTACTGCTTCCAGTGCTTTCAACATATATGCTGAAAAAACTGTGCCAACACATTTAAGCTAAAGTAAAAAAAAAAAAAAGGTCAGAGTTACACACCTGAAATTATAATCGATGAAAAGCGGTTGAGCTACATGAATGAAACGGGGCTGAGAATGGCGTTTCCGTCCGAAGGAGCAAACATGTTTTCGAGAGCACGCTCCAAGGTCCAACACCGCATCACCTGAATTGGGAAGCTTAGAAATGGGAAAATTGGAACTCCTTGGTCGGTTAGGCAATTTCGATGTTGTCGCCATTGCTGCCCAGGAACCTGCAAAACAAAATTCATTCATTAGCCAACAGCATCAGACAAAAAGAAGATGTTCGAATTCTTAAACAATAAATTAAAAGAAGAATACAACAAAGCTTCTAGAAATCAAGATGCGGAGACAGACAGACAGAGAACATACAAACAACAGCTTCCAATTCCATTGAGGGAGACTGAGTGCCGTACTGAAGAAATTGCAGAGGGGAGAGATAGGAGATGGGAATAACGACGGCGCTGCGCTATACAAGGGATGTGCGATGCCGTATAAGTGTTAGCCAGAGATTTGGGCTTGTCGTTGGTAATCTGAAGGTCAATAAATGACCAAAGGGTTCCCCTTTTTCTTGTCTTTGCCCTTTACCAATGGAAATACGGGAGATTGATAATTTAAGTACCAAATCCAAGTCAATTCAATAATTTTCTTAATGGTATCGTAGCATACTCCATACCAAAATATTTGAATTGCATTGGTTTTTACGAAATTTAAAAAATAAAATTTTGATTTTAATATATTAAATATTAAAATTAAATTTTTTTATAAAATTAAAATTTCTTAATTTAAATGTTAAAAAATAAAAAAGTCATAAAAATAATTTTAAAATATTAAAAAATAATTTTAAATGTTTAAAAAATAATTTTGAGACATTTAAAAAAAATTGATAAAAATTTGAGACAAAGGGGTATTTTTTTTTGTCAATTTGATATAAAAATTTTATATTTAAGTATTTGAATTTTCATTTTATCATACATATTGATATTTTGAGTGAACATCGTTGGTTAAATTATTGATGTAAAATAAATACCTAACAAATTATTTTATGTAGTAATAAATGTCACATCATTAGTGTGTTCATACAAATAAATGAAATTTTTTAAAATTTCAATATATTAAAAAATTGAGAAATGTAAAAAATTTACTAGAAAATTCAACATTAAAATATGAAAATGTGGGTTTTTTAAAAAATAAAAATATAAAAACTTTTAAAAAATTTAAAATCTAAAAGTACTTTATTGAAAGTTAAAAATACAAAAAAAATTGAAAAACATGATTTTTATAAAAATTCAAAATTGATCTTATAAAATTTGAAGTTTTTCTAAAATATTTAAAATTTTGTTAACTTTTTAAAAATTAAAATCAGATTTTTTAATTCAAAATTAAAAAAAAAAGTGGAAAAGAATTAGAGAAAGAAAATAAAATGAAAGCAATGAGATAGGGAAAGGGTGGTAGATGGTGCTAGCATTGAGATCGGCCCTATGCAAATGGAGCTCATCTAGCTTTGAAATGGACAGATGACCGTTGATTCGCCTTGAGCCAACTAATTAGACACTGATGTCAATCCAATTCTTTTTTTCCCTCCCTTACCTTTTTGCCTTTCCATTCTTTCTCTCTCCTCCTTTTTCTTTTCTTATTTTCTAGTCTCTCTCTTCATTATTTCTTTCTCTATTTCATTTTTTATCTTTTTCAAAAATCAAAATTTAAATTGGTATTTTTTATTCTTTCCCAATTCATTTTTTTTATTTTTTGTATTTTTTTTCAAATTTGAACTTTGTTTAGTTACTCATAATTTTAATTTTTTTGTTTTGAATTTTTTGGAATTTTATAAATGTTTTCATATATTTTTTAAAATTTTTTTTTAAAATTTTTTATAAAAAATTATTTTTTAATTACCTTATTTTTTATGCTAAAAAAGCAATGAATGATATAATAATGACTTGACATTTTTGACACATGTTATGATTTTATTAGATATTTTAGCAATATCAACTAGGTGATTAATGATGTTAGTCCCAACGACGAAAGTGCTCAATGGAATGCAAGTTAAAATACTTAATTGTGAATTTTTATTCTTTAGGTATTAATCTAACAAAAACACTATAATACAGGGGTCAAATGAATATTTAATCATTTTTAATCTAGAGTTTTATTTTCTATATTTTTTAGACTTTTAAAATTTCATAATGTTAAAAAATTATTATGAATATTTTTTCTTATATTAATATTATATATATATATGTAACAATCATTTGATTTTGTTTATGAAGTCTAAAACTTTCACTATTAGTATATGAGATGATTTTTTCTTTTAATTAAGTTGAGCTAAAATTGTTATGCCAAATAGCTAATCATGTAAAAGCAAACAAAAAAAAAAAAAAATTAAGAGTACATAAATTTTTCTTGTGAGAAAGATTATGCAATTTTGGACAACAAATTTCAGTATTACAATTATCAATTTTTTTCAATCATTTTTACAATCTCATATACCCAAAATCCATTATAGCCAAAAACTTTCTCTCATACTCTCTTAGGGTGTCTTGCAACTTTTAAAAGAATGCACATCCTTAATCCTAAATATATTCACATAAACATTCAAAAAAAAATCTAAAAGTTATTTACCAAGTAAATTTTTAACAAGATAATTCTAAACAACCATAATTAAAATTTGAGTTAATAATTTTAACCATTTTTACCTTGATTCAAATTCACTCTAAATTTATCTAATAGTTGCATCTAGAGGTGGCAAATATGTGGATCTAATTAGGTTTGGGTTGGATAATTTTGTGTTAAGGGAAATTCGAGTCAATTCATTTTGGTCATTTGAGATTAAGATCAATTTGAATTTGGGTCAATTTGAATTTATATAATTTTGGTCTCAAACCATTTTGGTTTTCGAGTTATTTGGGTTTTGACCTTTAGATCATTTAAGTTTGGATCATTTCAAATTTAACATTTGGGTCATTTAGATTCAATTTGTTAATTTCTAAATTTATCATTTGCAATGAAATTATTTAAGATTACAACATTACATACATTCAATTTTGACTTTCAATATCATAAAATAAATCGCTTGAAAAAGTAATTAATTATATAAAATTTAAAAAAGAGTAAAATAAGTGAGTTAAAATTCATTTGTTAATATAGAATTATGTTACTTCAATAACTTACTATAAAAGTTAGCCCTAATATGTATTGAAGGGATAAGTAAGCAATGTAAAAAAATATATATTAAAAGATTATTTTGGAAAAAATCTATAACTTATAATTAAAACTATCCATTTCATTTATTGATTGTACACCTCATCAATGTAAAAAAAAATGACATGAAAAATGTTAAGACAAATTTATTTATGAGGATCAGAGTATTTTTTTGCAAACATGTTTCTGTTTTTGTTTCTTTTGCTTTAATTTTTTTTTTTTTTGCCTTCTTTCTTTTCTTTCTCGAGACTCCATGTGTGTTATCTTTTTTTTTTTATGCTGCATTGTTAGACCAATGTTGATTACAACTTTTGGTTTTTCATCTTTTTTGTAGTTATTTATTACTGTATCTTTTCTATTCTTGGTTTAGGTGAATTATTCAATTTCTTTTTTTTTCCTATTTGAGACTATGAAGGATTTTTTTTTTTTTGGTTTTTTAGTAACTTTAATTTTTTTTAGGTTAGAGAATTTGGATCTTGTGGGCATGTAGGACATGCCGTATTCTGGATGTATTATTTTCATTTATGGTTTTTGATTTTATGCATTGGTTTCTTTGCATGCATTGATGGAGTTTTTCATTTACATACGTTAAAGGCTATTTTTCTAAGTTTTTGCTTTTATCTTTGGGTTAGTTTATTTTTTATGCATGGTGCTTTTTTTTTCGAGAGTGCTCAATGCTTTTTTTTTTTATGGTCGGGAGTGTTCTTTGTTTGTTGGGTGAAGTTTTAGAAAGTGGGTTGCGAACTGACAAAATTGGTGTTTAGTTTTTAATTTTATCTTTGTTTTGTAGGTATTGTGTTTGAATTGATAGAGTTGTTATTTTGTTTTTGTATCTTTGTTCTTAATTTTGTTACTGAGTTTCATGACAATGGTCTGGGTTTGATTCAATTATGTCATTCTTAAGTGATTAGATTTTTGTTTTTTTTTTTTTACCTTATTTATGTTTTTCTATTAATTGCTATTATTTTGTGCTTTGAATTTTTTTCTCTAATTCTTTAATTTCAACTTCCTTTTTTTTTTTCAACTTGGTTTTGCAATCAATGTAAATATAAGTTCCAAGCATTGATGCACTGACTTTTATGACTTTATGAAAAATAAAGTTTTATAATTGCCTTAAAGTGCAAACTTTAAACTAGTCACTATAATCTGTTTGAGTTTGTAAAAATTATTAAGAGTTAGATTTAGTTAAGTTTCAAGATTTGTGTTTGTAACTTGATGGAAAACAACTTTTAATAATAGCCAGAAATGCAAGTTTCAAACTTTTAATCACATTAATATATGATAATGCCCTTTTTTTTTTTAATTTCTCTTTAATTGTTTTTTATTTAATGAAATCTTAACAAACAAACAAATAAAAAAAATTGAATATTTGATTCAAAATAGCTCGAAAAGGATTTACAGATAATAAGATGTATTATAATCGATGCAAATGCTATTTCTTTTCTTTTTACCAAAGCTCAAGGTCTATAATTTCTTCTTTTTTTTTTTTTTTTTATTTTCATGATAGTAGTTGATTAATTTGTAATTGGGAATTAAAAAAGAGAGAAAAAATATAAAGTTCTTTTTTTCTTTTTTAATCTTTTGCTCTTTTATAGAGTGACATGCTTTGGTTGTATTCATTGGATTGGTAATAATGGCGGAAAAGTTGGACATTGAAGCTCAATCGAAGGCTACTAATTAGTCAAAAGCCATTGCCATCTTTAAGAGTACAAATCATCCTGTTAGTTTAAAGGTATGCATATTATTTTACAAGTGTTTCATTGAATAAAATATTGAAAATTTGAGACTTTATATATATGCATTATTTTTATTTTGCTATTTGATTTTGATTATGGATTATTTTAATTACTAAAATAGGATAGAAAAATAAAGAAAAATCCATTAAATCTCTATGTTAACAAGGAAATAATAGGCATTTTAATGAGCTCTTGATTGGTTTACAATTTGTTGATGTTGTCTATATAATTAAGTTTGAGAAAGTAGGTAATTTCTTTGAAAAGAATTCAAGTTTAAGAGAGAAAGTGATCTTAAATAGGATCACTAGAAAGGTTCAACCTAAGAAAATGTTAGTGATACTTGATCCATCAAGCAATGGTAAAACAATTCTATTAATTACATTAAGCGGCCGTCTAGGTTGGTGACTCAAGGAAACTATAACTTACAATGGCAACCCAAGTAGTTATTGCTATTCTTAGTTGATTTTACCTATTGCCTGCAGTATGGGTGCATACGAGAATAGCTTTCTTAATTCTGCTCTCAAGAATGAAAAAGTATAGTACCTTGTAGAATTATACATATTTAGTTGCATTTTCAATTATTTGTAAGCTATCCTAAAATTTAATTATTTTATAGTTTATTATTGATGGCCTGTGCAAATTGTGTTGCTTGACAATAGTAATGTTAATTTTGTTATTTGTTAACAAAATTTTCTCACTTTTGATTTTCTTATAAAAGCCATAGAAACGCATTCTTCAATTACAG